CACCTCAAAGATTTAGTTGGAGATTCAGGATCTATGCAACTGTAGATTGTGTTACCATATGTTTTCTTTCATTTAAAAATAATATTTTACACAAGTAATATATTGTGTTAACATACGTCCTACGGTAACATGTTATGATACCTTATTACTTTTTAACGGGTAACATATTATGTTACTTTCTACTATAAAATTAACATTTCACGTAGATAACATGTTGTATTATCTATCATATGCTATATGTTATTTTTAAAAAATTCATGTTACCGCTGTATGGGAGTAACATGTTGTGTTACCTTAAATCAAGCAATCCAGATGTTTGATTTGTGTTAACCATGTATTTTATCATGTCAATAAATGTATTTTTTTTTATTATTATTTTTTTGAAATCTTGACTTTATTACTCAGGATTGAAGGCCGATGGATTGTTGGTTTTCAAAATTCATCAAAGTCGACTCTCCACAGTTGGCTTCGGAGAAGCTTTTCAAAAGACTCGACTCTCGAATATCCGACCAAGCAATAGCATTTTTGTGTGAACTTTTCCTTTCTTGCGTTTTCTTGTATTTTTCCCCAAGTTGCGAAGACAAGGAGTGAACATATTTTTCAATTAATATTGAGCAAGAATATTTGAATTTCCATTAAATTATCACTCGACCCTCGTATCTTCAAATTTAATAAGAAGCTAGTTGTTTCACAACTTTGGCTGCATCTAAAAATTTGAAGTGGTTAAAAAAAAAGGAAAAATATGCAAAATAATTTTTTTGTTTTCTTTTTTGGAGAATGTGTGGTTGAAAATGAGTATGAAAGTGAAGTAATTCTCAAATACTCAAAATTAAATATGAGCAAATAATTAGTTGAAGATTCACTAGTTATTCCTTAAAGTTCATGATTTATTTTCTACTTGGGCAATAGTTTGAGGATCATAGCTATAATCTTCTATTATATTTCTAGACTACAAAATATTGAATAATTTAATTTATTATTATGATGATGGGATTGGCAATATTATAGTTTGTGTATAAGGGTGTGTTTGAACCACATTATTTTGGAAGAATGTATTTTGAAATAGTAAATTGATGGAGAGTGCGTGTTTGAAAAAGAAGGAAAAATTATTAATATGATGGAAAATATTATTTTATTGAAAAATGTGTTGTTGAAAATGAGTAGAAGAATGATAATGAAAATTTTAATGTGTCTCAAACAGGGACTAATAATATGATTGAACAATTCAATTTTATGAAAGAGGGGAGGAGAGATATATGTGTGTGGGTGGGTGGATAACGCCACATCACCGATATTTTATCATCACGATGATAAATAATATTATTCCAAAGACTGATAATTGGGGCATGATCCAGGTTTTGTCGCAAATGCTCGTTTTAAAAACGCAGGTTACAGAAATTAATCTAATAAGTAACACGATGTCGGATACTTGGTAGCTCAACAAAAAATCCAAGACAACTTGTAGAAATGTTATAGGT